CTGTGAACTACGTTTGTACCGAACACGCTTATAACGAACTGACAGATATAACGAACTACTTTTTGTCCCGGCCACTTGCTGTATTATTTAGTCGACATGGGTATAACGAACCATGGTTATAACGAACCAAGGGATATTAATAACAGTTTCTTTGATCCCGGACATTAGTCGAAATTGTTATAACGAACCTCGGATATAACAAAATAAAATTAGTGGTTACTTTTGAGTTCGTTATAACCGTAGTGTACTGTATATGACTTCAAGATTGCTGGGGGCGGTGGGGTAGCCTAATGGTTAAAGCGTTGGCTCGTCACGCCGAAGACCCGGGTTCGAAACCCCACATGGCAACAATGTGTGAAGCCCATTTCTGGTGTCCCCCGCCGTGATGTTGCTGGAATATGGCTAAAAGCGGCGTAAAAGCAAACTCAGTCAGTCAGTCAGGCAGTCAAGATTGCTGAGAAAAGTTTGCTTTATAATAACCATTACGCCATCATTTTGAAACTTTCATTACTCTATTAAGAATATAATATCCAAAACAAAAAATAATCAAATAACACCCCCCACCCCAACCGAAATATCACCGGTAACCTAAACACAACACGTGACGCCAAACAATGACTAGCCTCGTTTATGCCGCCAACAGATTCTATTTGGCAAAATAACGGTGATAATCATGTGAATGTCGTGACACCCGGTGTCGTAATTACCAGCCAGAACTTCGCCAGAACCTACTGTGTGAGAGAATGATGCCGAGATAATCTTATCTAAAATATCACGAGCGACATCTCGGATGGAATTGTGTCCTAGGTATCGAGTTCCAGTTGGTATAGGCACGGTCCACCATCTGCTAGTGTACACCGATAAAACCTGGCGTCATCTTTACATTGTGACAAGCAGCGCTGGTGGATATCCCACATAACAACCAGGTATCGATTTTCGGCGGCATGTGTGTGTCATACCTGGCAGGTAATTACTCAATCAAGAAATTAATCCGTATTTACGACAGTTACCTGCTTGCTTATTACCCGAAAAGCAGTATAAACACGTTCATTGATATCGTCAGTTCCAGACTCGTGTTTTATGTCAATATGCAACGTCAGCCTCAAATAGAGAGCAGGGATCGTTCAGGTAAAACTGTTACATGTATGACTGATCCTTACTCTTTGAGGATACACTGGCAGTTATTTCTTGACATTTCATATATAATTATACATTAGAAACATTTAAATATTATTATTCATTAATGGTAATATGATAGCATAAGTCAGTGCTTTTGTTTGTGACAATTTTCCTGAGAGGGGCGGTGGGGTAGCCTAGTGGTTCAAATTCGTTCACTCGTCACGCCAAAGACCCGGGTTCGATTCTCCAAATGGGTACAATAACTGTGTGAAGCCCAGTTTTGGTGTCCCCCGCCGTGGTATTGCTGGATTATTGCTTAAAGCGGCGTAAAACCCTGCTCACTCACTCACTCCTCCTGAGACGATTTTGAGATGTGTAAGTCTAGGATAAGAAAGAAATGAATCTAAAGATAATCAACAGCTCGTTCCAAGGGCTAATAATATGGCAACCAGGCCATACCATCCAGCGGTTATTTTCTAGCATGACGGAGTCATTCTACAAATAAAGATCAACTTGTAGTTAAAATATGGTAACGTGTGTAAAATGGAAATTCCATTCCGTATTTAGATCATGTATTAATGTATATCTTGCAACCTTTGGGTATCGCTCGATGGATTCCTTTAAACCTCGTTCGTTCGCGCGAACTTACTTAACTCGATAATTCGTTACCACGATGTATTATAGGATCCCAACAGGTCCTTATTGACATTATATCTCGAATATTACATATCTATCTATATAAGATGTTGTGGACTTCGAGAAAACGACGTTTTGCTGCATGTTGTGACCCCCTGAAGGAGGATTTGGTTAATTCCAAGGGACAGATCACGTGTAAAACGATCTCGAAAACATCGCGCTACGTGTACCCGTGAAGGTCCGTGTTAGAATGAACCTTCAGTAACCCATGCTTGTCGTAAGAGGCGATTAACGGGATCGGGTGGTCAGGCTCGCTGGCTTGGTTGACACATGTCATCGGTACCCAATTACGCAGATCGATGCTCATTCTTTTGGTCACTGGATTGTCTGGTCCAGACTCGATCATTTACAGACCGCCGCCATATAGCTGGAATATTGCTGAGTGCGGCGTAAAACCTAACTCACTCACTCACTCACTCGCACTACGTGTGAATTTGTGTGTCGTTTCAAATTCATTTAATTTCTTTTACTCGGTAATCAATTTTCAGTCACAGCCTTCCCTTTGGACACTGGAACAATGCCTCCTGGAACAGTCGGTAGACATATCTAATAATATTTTTCCGCAGTGATTTGATCAGGGTTACAGAGACAAATAGCTCCCCCAGTACGTGAACAATCTGTGATATGTCTCAAGGATCTGTTGTTTCCACAGGTGTCTACAAGAAAGTCTAAAAAGTCATCAAAGGTATTTTTGTGTTTCACCTTGTCCTGCATGATAACAGAATCAACCTTCCGGTTGTGGGATCCATCCTCGTGTGTCAGGGGTATTTTATACCCAGTACTATGATATATACCCTGGACCCAGTCTTTCCATAGCTACAGTTGAACCCTTTTCGAATAACACGAGACTAAGAAATGCCCTTTATGACGTTATATGTGAAAGAAATTATGTGGTAAACACGCTTGTTGTGGGCGGTGACGTCACTTCCGATAAGCTATGGCAGCAAATGGGTCTAGGTTGTTTATCGTAAATAATTGGAGATATAATGCTCAAGATAACTTGGGATGTCTGTGTGTTGGATCCCTGGTACTAGGTGTGCTGACACATGAAAAGAGTGTACGATAGGTGTACGTCGTGTCGACATAATGGAGGAACAGATGCGCATTGGGTAGATCACAGGGGTAGAATTTCTATTTTATGTAATAGTGTTCAAATTTGAAATATATATTAATCATAACATATTTAAACAATATATGATTCCAAAAGTCTAGATTTATATTTTCAAAAATTATTGTCCTAAGAGTGATTCAAACTCCTGTGGAGTAGATGTATCACCCAACTGACAAACCAAATGGAGTCGAACCCACTATAGAGGTATATTCATGGTGTAGTCGTTTATTGTACCTCCACAAGTATTATTATTATTATTATCCACTCAACTAGTACATGCACAAGGCGCTGGAGTGTTCCCTTGATCAACGATTGTCTTTTTTTCTGTCATTCTTTTTAACCATCTCAACTCCCTGGGGAGTATTCAACTCATACCGCCTGCTAAGCGCAGCGAGGTATCACACAGCCTCATCCTCACAAGGTACCCATTTGCAGCTGGGTGAACTGGGACACATGGTTAAGTATTTTGTCTAATGGTACTGCACGTTACTATACCCGTAACTAGGTGTCTACACGTGGATGTGTGTCCACCATTTGGTCACCTACCATCGAATTAGTGGGTTCTTGTAAGTGCACAGGGTTGTGTACTGCACACTAGGGGCTGTGACAACACTGAAAGAGCCTGCAAGTAATGTTAGCTCCAAGGTTTTTTAGCGCGGCGCCTTAGACAGCTCGCCCACCTTGCCCCGAGGTATTCTAGCTCGTGTATGACTTACACTGCGTGCCTTGTGATAATACTTCACTTCACCTGCAGTTCAGGCAGAGAACACCCATTATCTTCGTTGTATGCAGATATGTTCAAATTTTCAAGTTTTAATAATATCGACATTAAAATATATACAGTATATATGATACATTTAATCCTAATAATGATTTTTATACTGATTTTTCATAGTTTTATTTCTATAAGGTCATATCGGAAAAAGGGATTCATTTCAGAGAAATATTAAATGATTTAACCGATTTCTTAAACGTTATCAGTTAACAATAACGATAAGGTATAAAAATAATTGATTGCTTGGCCCACGGTACACAGATAATGACATGTGATCAGGCTCTGATTATATGGTCTGTTTTACCACGAAGATTTAATATTACAGACAACAGACACCTATTCCTATTTGTACGCTTTTAACAATGTACACACAGATTCTCCCCATAGTGTATGGTGAGACTCACCCACCTTGTTTCTATAAATACCAGTGTAATGAAAGATGGTGGGTAGTCCAGATAGCTCCAAGGAAGGCGTTGCAGTACAAAGCCGTAAAGCAGAAGGTTTGTGTGTACGCATGCCCGCTATATGCTTATAATGGATACAATCTTACGCTACTTGCTTATAATGGATAAAGCTTGGGAGTCAATTGCATGTCCTTCGTGGGTGATATACTTTGTGGTCTGTCGGGTATTTTATACATGTGAGCTACAGAGCATATATATGTTTTTGCCATGTCTGGTATACCTTGCCTTGTTTCAAGCCTTGAATTGTAAGTCCCTAAATGTAAAGGAATTCCCTTGTTTAAAGAGGCAAGTCTATTGAAATGTGACACTGAGAAATTCCGTCCAATTCTATGGAAAGTTAAAGATAGGAACGATGGATGGTGACGTCACTTCCGATACGGACGCCAGTTTTTTATAGGGTCTTATTATTCTGTTTGCTTAAATAATCTAGACAATACTATTATAACGGATAATTATTTCCTAGACGATTTGTGTAAGTCTACTGTCTACCGTATGTACGTGTACTCTGAGCCTGTTGGTTTACGTTAATGGAAAACGTAATGTATTATTTACGTTGTGTTCGTGTCCGGTGATCACACAAGTCCGCCATTTGTTCGTGCCATTGGGCGTTATACACGCATATGGCCGCCAAATGGCCATGTCTATAACGATTCCTTACATATTCTGGAAGCAATTTCTTTTCAGTGATTTTTCTTTTCAGTATTATCATTTAACGTCTTTTACCTCTGACAATATTGGTCTTTAACTTGCTAAAACAAAACTGTTGTTTATTCCAATACCATGTTGGTTTAGCAAAAGTCATTGTATAACGTCGGATGAGATGGCGATGGAAAATACACGTTTGAAGATTGCTGTAAATGAAAAAAACCCGAAGAAACTGTTTTTTTCAATGGCGATATATTTGACACGATGTATTTGACACGATGTATTTGATATGATGCATTTGACACGATATATTTGACACGATGTTTTTGACACGATGTATTTGACACGATGTATTTGACACGATGTACTTGACACGATGTATTTGAATCGTGTTTGACGAGATATATTTGACACGATGTATCTGACACGATGTATGATGTATTTGACACGATATATTTGACAAAATGTATTTGACACGATATATTTGACACGATGTATTTGACACGATATATTTGACAAAATCTATTTGACACGATGTATTTGACACGATATATTTGACAAAATGCGTTTGACACGATATATTTGAAACGATGTATTTGACACGATGTATTTGGCACGATGTATTTGACACGATGTATTTGACACAATATGTTTGACACGATGTATTTGACACGATATGTTTGACACGATGTATTTGACACGATGTATTTGACACGATGTTGACTGAGAGGCAAAAGAAACGTCCTGATATAGGAAATGACATTTAAGTATCAATGGAGTATTTGAACCTATTTTTTAAAGAAATATACACCGGAAGTCAAGTTAGAGGAAAACATGAATCATGGTCGTATAGCCTGTATTGCCCAATCAAGTATTGTTTGAGACTGAGGTTAGAAATGTTTTTTGCTTGTGGAAGGGAAGACTTCGCACAAACACAACATTGAAATTGAGATGCACGTGCATCATGCATGCATTCGGGCATAAATTGCCGGCTTGAATGGCAATCGTTCACTTCTTTTCTGAACACAGCAGCTATGGCTAGGTATATTATTAAACAATAGGTTCAAATACTCCATTGATACTTAAATGTCATTTCCAATATTACAACGTTTCTTTTGCCTTTCAGTATATTTGACAGGATGTATTTGACACGGGGGTCATTGTTATGTTTTGGACTGTATGTCTGCGGTGGCAGTGTTATCAACCTAACGACGTCTTGCAATTGTTTCGTCAGATCAATTTTCAAGTGTACACTTCCATTTGTTCGGTAGTGTACTTGGTAAGATCAATAAATGATTAGTTTGAGAATGTATCAGAAACAATATACGTCTGACATTTTAAAAAGCACTGTTGAATAAACACGGCGACATGTGCACGAGGGGATGACATTAACGCAATGATTGACTGTATTTTGATCTTACAGGATCAAGATGAATGTGTACAGAGAATGAATTTAACGATTTTAGCACAGTAACTGATATGATTCCTACGAAGCATAAAATATCTATGAAAACTGCATCTGGAATCGAATTTCTGATTCAGCTGAACGTCAACGGCCGCTTCCATCATCTGTTATGTGTAGACGTTTACAAGGCTATTCTTGGGTATCCCTCGTTATTACGCGGGACTGGTTCCTTTGGTGGCTTCCTCCTGAACTGTTTCTATAACGGGGAAATGTGTCACTTCCGCATCTTTTACCCTTACTAATAGGGACACCTGCCTGATTCAAATATAGGGGCACCTGCCTTACTCTGCACATACTGTCTTCAATCACAGATAGGGGCACCTGCCTTACTCTGCACATATAGTCCTCAATCATAAATAGGTGCACCTGCCTTACTCTGCACATATTGTCTTCAAGCATAAATAGTGACACCTACCTTACTCTGCACATATAATCTTCACTCATAAGTAGGTGCAACCTGCCTTACTCTGCACATATAATCTTCACTCACAAGTAGGTGCAAATGCCTTACTCTGCACATATAGTCTTCACTCACAAGTAGGTGCAAATGCCTTACTCTGCACATATAGTCTTCACTCACAAGTAGGTGCAAATGCCTTACTCTGCACACAAATAGGAGCATCTGCCACTTCGACACATTCAGTATTTACTCACTGATAGAAATATCTGCCTAAACATTTAACCTGCAAATTCCAAACCTACAAAGGCACAATACACCCATAAAGTGCACCTACTGAACACCCTCACTCACTCACCCACACACCTACCAGTTCTACAGCAGGCTTTTAACGATTCGGATATTACATTGTTGAAAGTAATCTGATATCATAAGTGATGTGTTTTATGTTCTGGTCAGAAACATTTCAGTTCATCCTGTATTTTGATTTCTAGTTTTCAACACTAGAAAACCGTCAGGATTGGGTTTGACAAGATTAAATATTCATTTGAGTAGTTTCAGTTCTAGCGCAGTAATAACTGACACATATAGCGTGATTTGAGGCTGTGCTGTGGAGTGTGTTTAACATAGCTTATTTATATCGTGATTGTTTACAAAACGTTTCTTCTTTATCATAAATAATGCATTTCTCAACACGTTTTGTTTTAGAATGACGTCATTCAAATTATGATAAACTACAAATACCTTTGTACTGTTGCTACAGGGTGTTCATGACTTTGAGAAATCAAGCGGGTGAGGTATGTTAGTTTGGTGTTGTTTAAACCCCGC